TATATATATATCATGTAACGCTGTTGTGGTGTATTTTATTTTTTTGGTGCTACCTTTTAATAAATTGTGCTAAAAAAATATTTTTTGCAATTATATGATAATACGGTGGCTGTAAGAAAATTATTGCCTTAATTTTTATTGTAAATAAATTTTCATAATTTCCAGCATAAGTTTCTAAAAATATTGCCTTACCAATCAAAATTTTACAATTACGTTTATAAAAGCCCTTAAAAAGTGTTTAAAGATGACAGCCAAAGTGGCTTTCAATGTTTTTTTTTTCTTTGGAATTCCCAAAAAAATTACATATATAACACCTAAAGTTTCATATATGCATGATACAACTTAAATTTTTACATCAAGTGAAAATATGTTATTACTGATCTTTAGAAGCGCATTTTCTTTCCAGACTCCCGACGTAGTTCTACATACAACGTAGGTTATTCCTGAATTATTTTCAGATTATTTTTGAGTTATTTTCAATAGTACTTAAATAACCCATAAATAACCCGTTGTCTTTATTTTTGAGTTATTTAGGTATTATTAAAAATAACAAAAAAATAATCTAAAAATAACTCAAAAATAACAACGGTCACACATAGAACTACGTCAGGAGTCCGCACAGAAAAATTTTTGGATCTTTAGATACGAAATATATTTTATAATGCAAAATTTTTAAAAACAACAGTATGTCAAATATAATATATTTTATATACCAAACACTTTAATTTCTAACTTATATATAACACCCTAAACTCGAAATAACATAAAAAAAAACATCACTAACATAACTTTTCAAATAAAATATCTATGTATTTACAAATCTAACACCCAGAGCTTCATAGTATTTACACTCACAACACTTGTGTCGTACATCTATTAATGAGAATGTATACTTCCTATACTTCCCTTTAGGAAGTTCATAAATGTTAAGGTTTTAAGTGTTGCAAATCTAAACATTTAAGTTTTGATGTGTCAGATATGCCAATACACAAATAAAATGTGAGGACGCATGCAGAATTACCTGATGAAAGTAGAATTCTACATGACATGATGGAATAAAAAACAGGGGGCAACTACATAAATAACACCCAAAACATTGCTATTTACAAATCAAGCACCCACTTTCCATCCATTTTTTTAAGCTCTCATTCAAATATCAAAATTCATGATAAAACACCAACCCATGTTTTCTATTTTTATAAAATTCTCGATGGTTTGATCATAGCATGCAGAAATACATCTGTTCGGCAATTCAAAGATATCGCTTAGGTGCTATATTTTGTAAATAGTAATGTTCATTAAAAAATAGAAAGAATATATGTATATATACATATATAGTCACGCATATCTTCTATTTTTATAAAATTCTCGATGGTTTGATCATAGCATGCATAAATACATCTGTTCGGCAATTCAAAAATATCACCTAGGTGCTATATTTTGTAAATAGTAATGTTTCGGATGCTATGTATGTATGTAATCATTCAAAAATAAAAAGAATTAGTACATATGTGTATATACATATATAATCACGCATATCCAAAAGGTTCTATCAAAGCATAATCATTGTCCCCAACAAAACAAAAAACACAAAAGAAAAACAGTTGTTCCATGTTCAGAAGATTTATGAGCATATGATTAACAGAAGCGGAATAGTAAGAAATAGTTCCGTTCAGCTGTCGGAGTTGGTGGAGGTAGAAGCAGTCTCACCAGAGAAGAGGTGGTGACGATGTTGCATTCGGAGGATCTCGTAAGCCCACTCGAGGCCGGGGCAGTAATGAAGCGGGGGATTGAATCTGCTGTCGTACATGTCAGGGGGCAAGAAGGCTCCGTTCTCTATCAGGAATTTTATGGCTTCCTTCTTCCTTGATTTGGCCGCGTTGTGTACCGGAGTCCCTGCACCAGCAATAACAACAACAGATGACACTTTGGCGTGTGCTTCCATATTAAAAATTTTGTGGTAGTGATATTCTTGACGTGATGTAAGCTTAAGTGTTAGACATGTAAATGAATGAGAATTGTGTGGTATATGTGTAAATGCCCTTTTACCAAATTCAAGGGTATGGAGCTTTGATTCAAAGTTGATGTAGTTACAAATCATTACCTACAGTGGTAATGTTTCACATTGGATACCAATTCAGTCAGAATGGGTTTCAATCCTTAGATGAACTAATTATGAGAGGGGCACAATACATAAAAAATCAATCAAAGTTTTTGTTGAAATACATTTTAGAAAAAAATTAATAATTTTGATAGACACACTAACCAAAATTTTATTAAGAACATCCCAACCCAAATTTTATACATTCATATAGCACACTTTTAAGTACAACATCTGCAGTTTAATGTGATTAGAGTTGTCAAAAAAAAATTTTTGTTTTTCTCGAAAATGGCTCGTGCTTGAATCATTCGTTAAGTAAGTGAGTAAATCACAAACAAATTTTATAAGCTTGAATCATAAACGAGCCGAACGCGAACATCACTTTGTTCAATCGTGTCCAACTCATTTTAACTCAAAATATAGAAATTATATATATGTGTGTGTGTGTGTGTGTGTGTGTGTGAGAGAGAGAGAGAGAGAGAGAGAGAGTTTAAATCACAACTCACGTGGTTCTATATTTTTATTACATAGAAATGGTACAAGTTCAAATCTAACACCCTATATCTATTTTTCTAATTAATTAAAACAAATCAATTTCAAGTTAACATGAACTAGATATGTAAATTGAGCCGCTGAACACAAATACACTGTTCAAAATCAATTTCGAACAAACCGAACACGAGCCAAACCTAAGCTCGATCAAGCTCAACTCATTTACAACCCTATACGTGATCATATATTTAAAATAAATTAAAAAGTTAATTCAATGGTAACTGAGACCTCCAATTTAAGCACAACTTAGAAAAATCCTCCAACTTGCTATAGCTAAATTTATTCAACCATCTCATTGTGAGAAACATCAAATGAAAAAACCCTTTCATTTCTATAAGCTAACACAGCATTTATAACAAAGAAAACAATGAACCACTATACAGCAACGGAACAGATTAGATATAAGTAAAACTTACAGCCGCAAGCGCCTTTGGTTCTAGCATCGATATCTGCACCATTGTCCAGCAACAGGTCCATAACCTTTATGTGTCCTCCTTGAGCGGCAAGATGAAGAGGAGTCTCTCCCTGAGATTTTGGGCCCCACGCACCAATATTCACATCCATTCCCTCTTCCAGAAGACATTTCACCTGCCACAAGATTACTAGAATATTAATGATTTCTTCTCCACAAATATTCCTAGTTAAGAAGTCAATCGCAGTAAAGAGAAAGAAACTATTATATGATAGAACAAGAATATTTTATTTCACCTTAATAAATATTAAGCAAATGAATATGATTGCTTGCAATTGGCTGGAAAGCAAAATGTTTAAAATTGATGCTTTTTAAGTCGAACTCACCCTTTAAAATAAGCTTTAAGGGACAATAACATACAGACCACTGAAACTTTCCATTTACAAATCAGCCACCCTCTTTCATCGATTTCTCAAATTCTCAATCAAATATCAAAATTCATGGTAAACTCCATTTTTCATTTTAATAAATTCTCAATAGTTTGATCTTGGTTCAAAAAAAAAAAATCACCTGGGTGATTTCTTTATAAATATCAAAATTTCCGGTGGTATGTATATAATTATCCTCAACTAAAAAAACACATCTTAAATATAAAAGAGAAAGAAAAACATCTTGAAAATGAACTCTTTACAGATACAAAAACAAATGGAAGAAGACTCCTAAATAGAACTCAAAGCCAAGCACTTGATCCCGCAGACGAGGACACATCATTATTTATTTTTAAAACACATTTGATATTTCATGAGATGATGCATTTCATCAATCATTATAAATGTCTTCATCTGAATTCTCTTGAACGTTCATTACTTGTTTCTTATGAATAATTGTGGTTGACGTTGATCCTAGTTCAGCCAATGTCTTTACATTTTAAAATGTTAATTTTTTTTTTCTAGCTTGGTCATACTTGATCAACATTTACTAGCGCATCAAATGTGACAAACAAAAAATGAAACAAGCAAAACCCTTTTATATCACTAGCTCAATTTGGGAATATCAGAGACAAGTAAATGAAACAACAACAACAAGAAGAAGCATTTATCCCACTAAGTGGGGACGGCTACATGAATACTATTTCTACGTTATGTCCTATCGAGTGTCATATTTTCATTTAATTATAGTAATTTACGATCAGTTTTTTATACAACATGCCCAAAACTTTTTTAAGTTTACCGCTTCATTTCTTAACATAAGTCAAATCTAAAACATCTATTCTCCTAAACGGATCATTAGATGGTCGACGTTTAATGTGGCCAACCCATCTAAGACGACTCTCTCAAATATTGTCTGCCACTAAAGCCACACAAACCATTTCACGGATATATTCATTTCACATTTGTCTTTAAGAGTCAAGTCACTCATCCACCTGAGCATTCTCATCTCAACAACATTTAACTTAGTTTCATGCTTCTCTTTATATGCCAACATTCTGTGTCATAAAGCATTACACATATCACTACCATCTTATAAAATTTTCTTTAAGTGCAAGCGGTATTTTTCTATCACATAATAGTCATGTTGCTATCTTCCACTTCAACCATCCAACTTGTCTACTAAAAACATTTCCATCCATATCACTGTCACTTTAAACAATAGACTCAATATATCTAAAGCGTTCACTCCTATTAATGATTTGATCACCCATTGTTACAACTCTGCCACTAGATCTACTACTTACTAAAACTGCATTCCATAGATTCAGTTTCATATCTACTCTAACAAAAGCTTTTCAACTCTAACATAGGCCACCATAATTCAAGTTTATCTTAACACTTTCTCTAGTTTCATCCACAAGAATGATAGCATCAACAAAAATCATACACGAAGTTACATCCTCTTGTAAAAGTCCAGTAAGTGCATCCATAACTAAAGCAAAAGGATATGAGCTTAAAGCTGATCTCTTATCTAATCCAACAAAAATAGAAAAATACTTGGCCAATACTCCTTTTGATCGAACACAAGTAACAAACTCTAATATACATATCTTTAATAACTTCAATAAATGTTATATGAACACCTTTCTTTTTTAGAACTCCCAAAAATACTTCTTTTAGAACCTTGTCATAAGCTTTTTCTAAATAATAAAAATCATATGTAGATCCTTCTTACTCTCTCTGCACTTCTCCATCAAACCTCTCAATAAATGTATAGTTTTGATGGTAGACTTGTCTGACATAAATCCAACCTGATTATGAGAAATCTTTGTATCACGTCTTAACTTATTTTCAATTACTCTCTCCCGTAATTTTAATATATGACACATTAACTTAATTCCTCTAGAGACAAGCTAATGAAAAGAGAACAAAATCAAGCCCAAAATACTCAATTTATTACAAAATCAAGTCCAACCAAGTTTTATTTTTGCTCAATCCAAAGATAGTTCCACATGCATCTTAAAAAAAAAAAAATCCAATTCTAATGTATGCTAGTTAAAAAAGGGCAATATTAAATATAAGTAAAGTCCAACTCATTTGCACATAAGCAAAACCGCATATAGAATCATTCAAGTTCATCATATGCCAATCTAAGGAACAGCAGAATCCAATACTTACACAATCAAAAACCAACATAATATGATCAATATCACAACCATCAAACTTTAACTAAGCTTAAATTTAAAAGCAAATAACCCCATTTGGTGATAAAGTTTCAGCCAAAAAAAAAAAAAAAAAAAACCAAATTCTGTCCATATTAAAACTTGCCTGTACATGCCTTTTTTCTAGCTCAAGCACGCTAAGTTTAGATGCATCGATTAAGGGTGCTTTCTTTCCTTCCAATTTGTATGGTCTGAAAAACCAAAAAAAAATTCTTCTGCAATAATTTTTGAGCCGTATGCTAAACTTGGGGTCCCATTCATGAATCTAAATGGCATAAAGAAAACTATCTCACCTCCGTATTCGACTGAAGGTGATGCAAGGATACTTAAATCATCCTTAATCTTCATAGTTTGATTTAAACATAATTCTATTGCAGTCAAATAAAAAGGGTCATCACATCGGCTGCTCTGGTAGTGCAATATTACCATGTCTCAATTCACCGTACTAACATCATATAAAGCAGGTTCCAATGAAAAGATAGCAGCATCGGGTTGTTGTTTACTTACCATAAAGGAATCATGTGCACAGCACGGTGACAGTGCATGGAATACTTGTCAGCTCAAAATCTACCAACCAAACAGAAATTCGACTTTATATGGGGGAATGCTCTTGACTTGAACTTTAGCATATTCTAATGAATGTGTATTCTTTTGCAACAATTCATCGTTCAATACATTTAAAAAACATAATTTATTCAAATGAAAGAAATGTTTTCTCAAGCAACCATCAATTTCAAGACCATTTCTGTTGGCAAAGGTGGACTAAATTGTCACCAACAAAATTTATGTCCACAATAAAATTACTTCTTAGTTAAATTAATCATAAAAAAGCACACTCTGGGCATGCACATTCATACTATACTTGGTAAAGATTGGCATAAAGAATATTTGCATAAGATCTTGGTATAATATAATGCAACTTTTAAATCCTTACAACTAAGCCTCCATTCAGTAATTTTTCTTCTGCTACTTGATAGAAACAGGCATATCAAAATTGTAACTGTTCTCTTGAATATGCAACTAGCCAACTTGAAGCCTTGTGCTCGGTTTCAAGCCAATTGTCCCATGAGGTTGGGAAAATTATCTTCCCGAACAAAGCAGTGATTTTACTTCTTAATTTCAACAAAAAAAAAATAGCATGCATTGCAAAACAAAGCCTAGGAAGCACAACTATGTAAGTTTCTGACTAAGATATTGCCGATCAGAACTCATTAATCAAAGTGATTAATGTTACAAGGTGTACTAAACCTGAAAATGTGCTTGAATAGAGACCACAATCTCAGAGTTTTCCATCAAGATGTTAATTAATATGCAAACAAGTCAAACTTCATCGTGAAGGCCATAAAAAATAAGTCATCAAGTAAAATTTACAGCAAGGAAGTAGAATGAATAACAGCTATGCATCTCTATTACAACAATCATCCTTAAATGTTTAGTGAGAACTGAGAATAATCCAGTACCATAATGGATTCTTCAATTGGTAGAATGCATCTTACAATTCATATATAGAAAAACAGAGGAACAAAACAAAATAAGATTCAACCCAAAATAATTCGCAAAGCAAGTATTAAAACCGATCGTGTTAAGACTCGGTATGAAAATGCATAGAATAAGCATAAGAAATTCTAAACTAATAATAATATAACCCGAAGCAAAGAAAGTAAAAATACCTTTTTCAGGTCACCCATCCGAGCACCTATGTGTAGCAGAGTCCAGCCCCTATCATCTCTGTTCACATCATCTAGCTTAAAAGAGCGCCTGCTTGACAGTTGACGCCGAGGCAGTCCATCCCGCTCTCGCAACATAATAGGCAAAATATTCCAAATTTTCCAATTCAATCCCAATTCAAAAGCGTTAAAAAACAGGGTATCAAAATCTAAAAGAGAACGCCTGTTATTACCCGTGCAGCAAGGAAACCGTAGAGATTTTGAGATATTTTCCACAGAATTGAAAGAAACCCTAATATCTCATTTTTCATGATTTAAGGTGTAGTTTTAATTCTGAGAAACAAATCCAAATAGGGACAATGGGAGGTTCTATTTATGGATTGAAATCCACAGACCACTTGAGTTGCTCCATACTTTTATTTTCAATCTTCAAATACTTCTTAGCAAAGATCCATGTGTAGTCTTCCTCCCTAGTTAACTATATAGGAATGTGTCTACCATCTAGTAAGCCAATTTTTTAATTACCCAATAACTTCAAATTATTAAATAATTTATGAATGAGTCCCATTTTAGGATGTCCATAAATATACTTTCAACTAGTGCAAACTTACACGAAAAAGATATGTTTGCATTATCTTGCTCGGATAGAAAGATAGCAAGTTGTCGGCCTTCAATGGTCTCATCAGCATTTTTATCTTGTTTTATTTTGTTTTTGAAAATAGTAAAATGTTTGATATATATATATATATATATATATAAATATATATATATAATTGCTTGGATTAAATCGGTCCAATCAGTTCGTGACAAGTCAAAACATGATAAAAAATAAAAATAAAAAGTTTTAATCCATATCTCTCCCAATTGTAATTAAAAAAAAATGGCATCAATATAAAAATACATGGATCATCATGAACTCATTTTGGGGAGACAAGTGCTGAGGTTTCTTGATCAATGAGATGGAACTCCATTCTCGTTCTTGGTAAAATAACATTTTATAATAGTCTTTAGTACAATCTATTGTTAAGATTTGGAAATTTAAGAGCTTTGTTGATCTTATTTCATTCACTGAAAGACTGAATATTTTGAAATGGTTTTTCTCTAGTGTCACTTGGTTTATCGGCGGGAAAGATTTTTTTTTTAAAAGATAAACTCAAGATTTTAATCATTTTAAGTAAGTTTTTAAGGATGTCCGCATTTGGGTCAAGTTTCTTAATCCTTTAATTTGTTGGTCTGAGTCCGATAGTTTAAAAATTACTAGCAAGATTAACATTTCTCTAGTCAGTTAATACTATTTCGTGTTAACATATTTTTATTTTATATGAAGGAAAGTCTACTACATGCAAATCATATTCTACTTTTTCTCACTATCCTATAAATTGTCCTAAGTCTTCCTCTCAACCTACTAATGCTCTTATTCCTACTTTAAGAGGAAGAAGCACTAAGAGGAATTTTAGTTCTTATGGTTTACAAGGAAATAGAAGCAAGCCGGTTAATGCAACTTGATCATAGTTATATTGTTCTTTTTAGTCCTAATAATTCAATTGTGAGTATTACTAACAATAGGAATCCCACCTCTTCTTTTCCTGCTCAATCTCGAGTTAGAAAAGAAAGAGTAAGTAACTTTATCGTTTCTTTGGTTTTTCTTTATTTTTGTTTTGATTTTTTTATATTTTTGCGTCAAATTTACTTAATTGTAGCGTTGTAGGACTTAATAGTGCCCCTATTATTGATTGTAAAAATTTCTTAAGGAATTATAAATTTGATCTTCTTTGCCTTATAGAAACCAAAATTTCTAATGATGTTATTAATGATCTGGTTGCTCTTAATATTTTTAATTTCTTTTTTCAAATGAAGAGAATTGTGAAAAGTTTAGTACTATTGATCATGGTAGAATTTGGATTAAATGGAATAAAAGCACTAAATTTCTATGTTATTCATATTGATCTTCAGTTTATTCAAGAGCATCTTTTTATTCTTCCTCTATAAATTTTTATATGTCTATCATTTATGATGATAATAGTGTTGCTAATAGAAAATACCTCTAAAATTCTATTATAATTATTAAAGATAATATGTATACACTTTGTCTCCTTAAAAATTTTTATTGTATTCTTAGATTAAATGAAAAGTTTGGGGGTTGTATGCTTTGTTTGGTGAACTTGTGGATTTTAATAATTGCATTTCTTCAGCTAGTCTTAATGAGCTTAAGAATTGTGGATGTTCTTATAGGTTGTCCAGTTGGTCCAATAATCAATTAATAATCTTATAAGATGTCTTCTTAATAGAGTACTATGCAATTCCTATTAGATAAATCAATTTCCTAATTCATTTTATAAAGTTTTAAATGTTTATCTTTCTTATCATCATCTGATTACTATTTTTTGGGAAATTCCAGTAAATTGCATTGTAGATCTATGTATAAGAATTTTTTGGAGTTCATGACCTTCCAATCATATTTTAAAATTCAAATGCACTTTTGAATATCTAATATTCATTAATTCCTAGGTGAAATTTTAATATTTATGTGCGGGTAGGTTTTGAGCTTTTGTTTTTTTATTATATGCAGGTCAATTATGAGTTTTTGTTTTGTGTTTCTTTTGGATTAGTTGTTGTTCTTTGTTTGTTGTTGTTTTGTTTTAATATTTTAGCTGACTATTAGCATGTCTTATTTTTATATTGTTGTAGTTTTGTTTATTTGTGCAGTTTACTGTGGTATTCTTTCTTAATTGTTGATGGTTTTTTTATTGCTATTGTTTGTTTGGAAGTGATTTGTTATTTTACATTGATCTTTTTCTTCTTTTAATGTTTCTAGAAATATGGATTTGTTGTTTTCAAATATCCTTTTTTTCTCATCTGGACTTTCTGGAGCGATTTGACTGTTTTCAGTGATCTATAATTTCTATTTTCAGATGTCTTCTAAAGATCTTCAATTGTTTTATTTGGTTGTGCAATTCATTATGATCTTCTTCCTCGTTTAAAACTTATGGAGTTCTAGTTATTTTTATTTGTTTGGAATGAATTTCTCACTTGGAGTTGGTTATTGTTGTATTCAGATTGTTCTTCATCTCTTTGATGTTGTGCATCTCTCACCTAGAGCTTCTGGATTGATCTGTTGTGCAACAATCTAAAAGTGTTATGGATCTCTCACTTGGAGTTTCTAGAGTTATGTATGTTGCTACTTCATAAAAATAATATTGATTATAGAGATCTTTCTCCTTAGTTTGGAGCTTCTGGAGTTCTAAAATTATTCACAGAGCTTTTGTCATTTGTTGTTGTTGATTTTGGGACATTTATTTTTGTTATATTTTCCCTAATCACTACTCATTAGGCTCTTGGTTTTAGGTTCAATTGTCTTTTTATTTGTTTAGAGTTATGATTGGCATTGTCTTCTAATTCATTTTTTGTTAATTTAAGGTGCCCCTAATAAAAAAAAAAAAAAAAAAAAGCATCTAAATACATGAAACTAGAATGATTTGTAAGTAAATATTATTTTAACTTTTTTAGAAAATATGAAACAGCTACAGATAAATTAAAAAATAATCAAAATATTGGTAATAGAATATTATATATTTATATATAAATAATAAAATAATTTAATTAAAACTTATCGTTTTCTTAAAATTATTTTGGCCCAAAAAAAGAAAATATTCTGAATTCTTCGTTCACAGCCGTTTCATTGAACAGATGTTGCTGCCCCAAAAGACATTCACATTGATTATTTAACTAGGAGTCGAACTCGGATGATTGCAACTAGGGGTGTAAACAAGCCGAGCACGAGCAAGCCCACACTCAGCTCGTGTTTGACTCGTTTATATTTCAAGCTAAAAAAATGTGTTCGTGTTCAGTTCACGAACAAAGAGTCATTTTGACAACCCTAATCACGTAGTCATAAAATGTTAAAAATTGGGGCATAATTTAAAACATCATTTGAATCTAACTTAATAATTTTTATTCTATTTTCTTAATTAATACTTTTAATTGATTATAAATCTTTGTAGTGTTGTAGTCAATTAATTTTTTTTTTAAATACTACTCATCAAATATCTTTATATATAATTGATTAGTAGTATTTCGAGCCAAAAACGAGAAGAACACGAGCGAACAGATATTTGTTCGTATTTGGCTCGTTAACTTAGCAAACGAGCCGAACACGAGTCATTCCCAAACAACGAGCTTTTTTGACAGACCTAATTGCAACATTTTACAGAAGTGATAGCAAAGTCAATGTCAGATTTTAATTTTAATTTAATTTTTTTTAAAACTATCATGGATATTACATACATGTGTATTTACATATCAATCATCTAAACATTGCATTTCATATTTATACAACCCAAATCCCCCAGATCCTAAAAAAAAATCACTATTTTAACTTTAAAAAAGTAACATGCAATTTTTCCTGCATAGGAAAGTCAACATGTATATAAAAATTGAAGTTGAGTTGTTCGATATAAAGATACAGAAGAATTGAGGGCTATGTATGTATGTAAATTTTCTATCATCTTTGGTTTTTATGAAGAAAAGTTGGATATCTTTTTTTGTAAGTTACAGCTACTGTAATTCTGCAGATATTGTTGGAAAAAATAGCTTCCCAATACAATTTTTTATAAAATAATTGACAAATCTTCTAAAAAAAATTGATTGAAGGAGCTGAGGGTTAAAAAAGAAGCCAGCCACAATAATCTCTCTCCCTGATTGAAAGGTGAAAATATTACGTCTGGTAAGTTAGACATGCAGTTAACAGCATCAATCAATCTCACCACGCTGCCGGACGCACGGCATGATGCGATCCGCACCGCCGTCCGCACGTCTGGACGACAGACGTAATATTTTCTCAGCTGAAACGGTGTGAAAAGAATCACATGAAGTTGTTAGACTTCTCAATATAGATAATCACTCTCCTACAACGATCATCTTTCCCAGGCAGTAATTGCCTACAGAGAGCATTTTACATTTAAACCCGTTTTGGTTGGATTCAAGATAAATCAGTCACAGTAAAAGCAGAAAGAACAACATTAATTTTACATTGAAATTTAAGAAAAAAACACAGCAATAATGTCACCTGATTGGCCAGCCCCCATTATAAACATTATTTTTAGACACAGATTCTGCATTTAGAACCAGGATGTATTATGATTCTAACTCGCTGGGAACTTTCTCCT